GAACTACACGAGGGCAAAAATAACATGAAATGTGAGACTTGCCTTAAAAAATACTATAGCAAAGAAAAAGGGAAAAAACGAACAGATTAAGCAAAAGTAGCATTAAAAAACTGGTAATTTTTAGTCAAGATGGCATTTCTAGGGGTTCAGTACACATACCTGTCTCTAAATACATTTTAAAATATGGTTACAATTTTCCATAACAAATTCCTGAGCACCCACAAAATTATACACAAACCCTAATCCCAAAGTATGTATGTGTATGCGTAATAAAATACTATAAAACATCACTAGTGAGTATTTCTGTATTATAGAACAGAAATTCCTTTGGAATTTTTAATGTCTTCCAATTTCTCTAAAGTAGTAGGTATCAATTTTAAAATAAAGTAAATCTATTAAAAATATCACTATGCTGGGACCAGCAGTTGACGTAATGGCTATGTCATTGGACTCCCATGTAGTTGAACGGGGTTCAAATCCCAGACCCAGTGGCTTAAACTCATGTCGGGCGCATGTGCGTGCGTGCCCAAGATCCCGAGAGGAGAATGGAGGAGAAGGGATTGCGGCGTGGCTATCCCCCCTGGGGGGTGATTTCTCACTTTCTGTCTCTCTGTCTCTCTCTGTCTTTCTGGCTAGGGCATGCACCCTATAGAAAAAAAACTCCAAAAAGAAAAAAAAAATCACTATGCTAGATTTCAGAAAATGCAGGGGAGATAATGTTACGAATGCTCTTTTCTAAACAATCCACTTACTATTTAAAAAAAAAAAAAATCAGAGCAATACGGTAGAAAAGTCCCACTAAGGAGTCCAGCAGGTGGTGTGGAGGTTAAGGCACTGGATCCCACATGACCAACTCCACGGTTTCCTTCTCAGACTGGCAGCTTGGAAATCACACCAGGCGTGCGTGCGTGTGTGTGTGTGTGTGTGTGCGTGCTCAAAATCCTGAGAGGCGAATGGAGAAGTGACAGCGGCATGGGGGTGGGGGATGATTTCTCACTTTCCCTCTGCCTCTCTCTGGTGAGCACACGTACTCTATAGCAAAAAAATGAGAAGTACCGTTATGATTATTAGAAAAATGTCCTGTAGGCAGAAAAGGCTTTTACTGAATAATGATTAATTATTACAGTACAAACCTGAAGATTGTTTAGGGTTCAAATAAACATTCTTAATAAAGAACGAGATTGTATTAAACAAACATATTTTCTCAGTGTATCTCTACTAAAATAACAATCTTATCAAAGCTTCTAATTGTTTCTTTCTTGTGATCTCAACTTTATAAAAACAAAGGTTTTCCAGTTGTACCTCTGTATTCTATTTTCAACAACTGGCTAGAAAGTTTCAAAAATTAAATTAAAGCAAGGTCATTCATAAACAAGGAGTACTGCTTATGTAGTAATCCTTTGGAAATAAAGAATTTTCTACCACAGGTGTCAAAATGCCAAATATCAACTCAATAATCACCAGACAGTTTGAAATCTTGGGAGGAGGGGGTTTTCCTTGATACACTTGCCAGCATCTTCCTACTACATGAAATATAACATTGGGAACCAGCAGTTAGCATAATGGCTATGTCGCTGGACTCCCACGTAGTCGACCGCGGTTCCCATCCTGGACCTGGTGGCTTAGAACTCACGCCAGGCGTGTGTGCATGTGTGCCCAAGATCCCGAGAGGAGAATGGAGAAGGGGTTGCAGCGTGACCATCGCCCCGGGGGGTGATTTCTCGCTTTCTGTCTCTATGTCTCTCTCTGTCTGTCTGGTGAGCGTGCACACCCTATAGCAAAAACCTCTCCAAAAAAAAAAAGAAAATATAACGTCATCATCTTCACAATGACAGTGTCTTCTCTGTGATAACTTACTGCAGAAACCTAATTTTGTTATGACTTTCTGGTAAGAGGATATAGTTCAGTACAAAGTCTCCTTCTCCACCCCACTCTGTAAGCCACAATAAATACTGCTCCCTTGACACTAAGCCAAAAGGAAGTTTGCTTTGTACCTTTTTATATAATACTTAGTTCCGGATTAGAGTTTAAATGAAGTCATAGTTACAGACTAGTTCCGCAAATTCCAGTGGAAAGGTCATAAAGAAGACTCAAACTGTAGGAAGTCTTGACTGTTGCTTATGTTCCCTATCACACAAGGCCAGTGCTTTGACCTTCCCTAGAAGATCGTACTAGGACTTCAGCCCCTTAAGATCTCAAAGAGATAGGCAGCTGTTACACTAGAGGGTAAGAAAAGGTCTGTACTAGCCTTTTTGAAATACAAGGAAGGAGGGAAGAACTTGTGAATCCAAAAGCAGTAAGTGTTATGGTATCACTAAAGCCCTCCATTCACAAGGATTCATCTGAAAGTCTTCCTCTCACATCTTAATGGCAGACACCTAGTCTAAGTAAAAAGCTACTTTACCATTACCAAGCATTTTAGATCTCAATAGCACCTCCTCGAAGAATATCCAACTACTCTCAAACCTCTTTTCTAATCTCCAAGCCCTTTTAAATAAAACCTTATGAAAGATCAAATACACAAAACAGAAAAAGTAGAGCTACTCTTACAGTGGGGAGATGAAGAGGATGCCTTAAGAAACAGCGTCCCAGGGTTAGAATCCCTAGGACTCTTTAGAACAGTCTGAAGAGTCTAAAGAAAGACAGAGAGGTACACAGAAGGTTGATAATGTCAGTTCTCATTTTTTTGGAGGGAAGAACAAGGATATCAAAGAATGAAAGACAAAATAAAGATAGCCATGATATGGTGCAAATATAGACCATAATATTTCATCTGTATTATTATACATCTATAAAAGTAAATATACAATCAAGCACTGTTTGGTAACATGAGCTAATGATGAGGTTGTAAGCAATCTCTATTATTTTGATATTGTTTTTGCAGTATAATATGTCTCGCAAAAAGGGAAGAAAATTATTCAGCCAATCTCCTATTAACAGATAAAGAAATGAGGCACAGGTCTGACAAAGACCATGTACAAACACTTGAGGGCTACAATACTTAATCAATCCGTACTCACATGGAGGAGATTGTAAAAATCACTGCTTTCAACGTCACCAAAAAGCCACACTGAGCTACTTTGCCCTATTTCTTAAAAGCATAAGTCAGTACTAATTATAGGAACTGGCTTTTACAAGGGGAGTTCAACAAGTTCACGGAAAAACGAAATTAAAGTACAAGTTTATTTTGGTACAAAAACAATTTTGACATGAAGGCATAGTTTTTTTTTGTGTTTTTTTTTTTTTGGAGAGATTTTCACTGTAGGGCGCGTGTGCTCACCAGACAGACAGAGACATAGAGACAGAAAGCGAGAAATCACCCCCCAGGGGGGATGGTCACGCCGCAATCCCTTCTCCTCCATTCTCCTCTCGGGATCTTGGGCACGCACGCACACGCACTCGGCGTGAGTTGTAAGCCACCGGGTCCGGGACGTGAACCGCGGTCGACAACGTGGGAGTCCAGCGACATAGCCATTACGCTAACTGCTGGTTCCCAAGGCATAGTTTTTCATACTATGTAGTTTCTGTGAACTTACTGAAAATGTCTCATATGATATGGTTTAAGATAAAAAAATGTTGGGACAATTCAACATTTACTGATCAACGTATAACCACAAACTCTGTTCTACCTGCTCTATGACACACAGAAAACGAGAACCAGGCTGCTCTTCAAGGGTTAACAATGCAATGAGGCAGACGGATGTAGAGTCTTACTAAAAGGCAGAATGAAATCAAAGTGTGAACTGTTGGGCTGTAGGGAGAGTCATAACACATTTTTACATAGAAAAACATAGAAAAATACAGTCATGACTTTCCTGACAACCTAGTCATTCCAACTTGGGACACTGAAGAGAAGGTCCTGGATCAAAACACCTACGTGGTGGGAACCAGCAGTTGGCGTAATGGCTATGTCGCTGGACTCCCACGTAGTCGACCGCGGTTCGCGTCCTGGACCCGGTGGCTTAAAACTCACGCCGGGCGCATGTGCGTGCGTGCCCAAGATCCCGAGAGGAGAATGGAGGAGAAGGGACTGCGATGTGACCATTCCCCCTGGGGGATGATTTCTCACTCTCTGTCTCTATGTCTCTCTCTGTCTGTCTGGAGAGCGCACGCGCCCTATAGCGAAAACCTCTAAAAAAAAGAAAAAAGAAAAGAAAAAAACACCTATGTGGTGAGTCTTAAAGAATAGTGTTAAGTACCTAAGAAATGACCTTACGAAGTGACCCAGTCAGAGAGAGAAAGGGCAAAGGCCAAGCTAAGGATAAACATGAGCAAAGGACCCAGCAGGGTGGTGCAGTTGATAGCTGAACTGCAGTGCTAAAAGACACAGGGCTGACTGTGGGTCCGGATCCCTGGGGCAGTCTGAGACACAGCCAGTGTGTACACAGGCGCTCAGGATCCTGACTAGCTGCAGGGCTGGGAGAAGGGGGTGGCAGCATGCTAAGACTCTGTGAAGGGGACCTCTTGCTCTCTCACGTGCGGGCATGTGCACACACTCTCTATCATGAATAAAAGATAAACCAACTTGAAAATGAAACATTAGCAAAGGCAAGAAAGGCCTAAGATGATGTTCAGGAAGAGGTGAATTGTTTGGTTCAATTAAAACACAGAGGGCAGTACATGTGGCAAGAAATACAGGAGTCAAAATTGGAAATATAAACAAGGACTAGGTTAAGACAGCTTTCAAATGAAGCCAGCTTAAACTGAAGCATTTGAACAGGAAAAACAATTCAGCAGAATACTGAAATGGAGTGAGAGAGACTAAAGACAAGTGAAGACTTGAATGAGAAAAGCCTTGAACAGGACATCAGAAATGAAAAGACAGTCGGGACCAGCAATGGGGGGCATCATAGAGGTCGCAGCAAGACCAGCTGTCACTTTCTGGTGGGTCACTGCGTTTTAGTAGTGTAAGAATTGAAATACTAGTTATGTGAGCCAGCTTTGTAAACAACTCTGGTTCATCTTACAAGCTCCAGAACAAACGTACACAAACTCAGTACCTTCACGTTCCCAGGTGTGGAGCTGCGTGTGGTCTCTGGTGGCACTGCCCAACACCTCTCGGGGGACAGGTGCCATGCGTGCATCTACTTTCTCTTGGTGTGAGGACTGGTTAAATCCTTCCATGGCCTTTTGGAAAAAGCAGTTCAGCTCTTCAAAATTCATGGCCTGTAGTTCTGCATAAAGTTCTACCTGTTGGGCTTCTTCCAGCTCATCCCAGAACAGAAGCAGGTGTTCTTGCCCAGCTTTGGCCAACCTGAGTTTGAGGTCATTAACGTCCATTCTGCTCTGATAGACAAGCTTTGTGCAAATAAGGGTGTAATGTCTGTACCTGTAGACCTAAAAGAGACACAGGCATTAACAGCAGGTCCAAGTCCAACCTCCAAGCCTCAGGGTTTTATCTCCCACCAAAGATAAGTACCATCAAAAATGTTCATGTTAAGGAAATTAACTTCTCATTTCTATCACTCAAGATTTGTAAGAGATCGCACCTATAACGCAATAATCATTTACGTTATGTATCAGGCACTGAGTACCTACACGGTCTCGTTTAGTTTTCAGTAATTCTACGGCACGCAGTTACTATCACCACTTTACAGGTGAGACTGAGACACAGAGAGTCTAAACGTCTAGCCACTCGTGGAGCTGGTGTGAGCCCAGGCAGTCTGATTCCAGGGCTCACACTCATTTCCACAATCGCTTGCCTCTGCTAGTTCTCTGACCACGAGTGACCAATGAAAAAACATTCGACTGCTTAATATTTGAGCTGTTGCCCTTTTCTCTCTAGTGGCAGAAATAATTGTGCCCTTGTAGTTAGAATACAGCAATATCCGGAAAGAGAGGACCACCTCTAATCATGAAAAATACGTTTCATTTCAACGGCAACTTATGCAGCAAACCAATCAAAACATGTCCATCATGTCTGTTCACTAAAAACTTGGACCTCATCAAAAAAGAAGAGCAATATACACATAATAACCAATGAATAAGTATGGTTTTGTTTGGGGATTTTTTTTTTAATTTATTTATATCCTCTACAAGCAAGAGAGACAGAGAGATAGCACCCCCAACAGGGTCTTCACATTGCCATCTCAATCTGCCCCCAGCCTCAGCCAGCCCCAGATCACTACAACACACATGCTCAGAGTTCACTGGACACAAACTCAGAACCTTCCCACGTTGGTCAGCGTCACAAAGAGCTACATTTTATTGCCATGTCACTGAAGAGCCTAAAGAAAATGTTTTTAAAAAAACATTCTGGGGACCAGCAGATGGTGTAAAGGCTGTGTCACTGGAATCCCATGTAGCCAACCGCAGTTCGAGTCCCGGACCCAGTGGCTTAAACTCACACCGGGCGCGTGTGCGTGTGTGCCCAAGATCCCAAGAGGAGAATGGAGTAGAAGGGATTGCAACATGGCCATCTCCCCTGAGGGGTGGTTTCTCTCTTTCTGTCTCTCTGTCTCTCTCTTTCTGGCGAGCACATGCACCCTATGGGGAAAACCTCCCCCCCCCCAAAAAAAAAAGCATTCTGTATAGGGACCTACAGGTGGTTAAGGATGCTGAACTCCCACATAGCCAAACACGGTTCAATTACTGGACCTGGCAGCTTGCTTTCCCACCTTCCTTCTCTCTTTCTTTCTGTCTCTCTCTCTGGTGAGTGCATGTGCCCTATAGCAAATTTGAAAAAACAGTAACAATAAATAAAATGAAATAATTGTTTTTTTTTTTTTAAGAAAGAAGTGTTGTGTGATAAAGCAGCAAAATGTTAAACTGTATTGAGCTGAAAAATAAGACAAGGAGGAGACAGTTCATCTGTCTGCCTACTATAGGCAAATGCAAGGGCAGATAGGGTGTTGTCCAAGAAGCCACAAAAGCAGCCTGATCGAGCTGTGCCTGGAGGCCTGAGCAGACTGCAGAGAGAACACTGGGCAACAAGCAGAGCCAGGCCACGCGTGGGCTGGCGAGCAGAGAAGACGCACGCTCTGCATAGAATGAAGAGAGACGGCAGGAGAGGGTGAGCCCAGGGAGAGCCTTGAAAACTAAGTAAAAAACCCAGGCCTGACAGAAGGAAGACGCCAATAGGAGACTGCTGAATGGGCGGTGTTGCCAGGCTTTAGAGAGATGACAGAAAGGTGCAACGGCACGGCACGGAGCCAACTATAAGGGACGACTGAAAGCTAGTTAAAAGGTTCTAGACAACTAAAAGGAAAACGAGTTAAAAGACAATGGCAAAGGGGTCAGCAGGTGTTGCAGTGCTTAAGGCACTAGACTCCCATGTGGTCAACTGTGGTTCAAGTCCCAGACCTTGCACTTGAAACACACTAGGTGTATGTGCATATGTCCCCAGGGTCCTGAGAAGAGAATAGAGAAGGGATTGCGATGTGGCCATTCCCCTTGAGGCGTGACTTCTCATTTTCTGCCTCTGTCTCTCCGGAGAGCGCACACACCCTAAAGCAAAAATCTCTCAGAAAAATCAACACGATTGCTGGGTTGGATTAGCTGCAGAGGAAATAAGAGTGAAAGGAATAAATGTGAGGGTTACTGTGAAGAATCGTCACTGCTCTGTAACTGCTTAGATGTGGGGGACAAAGGACGCTGCCCTCTCACCTCTTCCTCCGTTAGATTGTGAACAGTTCGAGCGTTGAGCTGAGGCACTTAACCTCTCCAGGCCTGTTTCCTTACCTGCACAGTGGGGTCAATAAGACTATCTACGTCATCACCACCATTAAGCATCAAACATCTACAAGCTCAGGCCAAGAGAGCCTACGTCCATGGGCCCCGCGGTGATGGAGACAGCACATGGCCCTGATATTTCACTCATAGTGCAGCAAGATGATTCTAACTGCTTTACAAACACCTCAGAACAACTCTACGGTGCTGTCATTGGGATTATTTTACATGAGAAAATAAGTCACAGAGATGACTTGTCCAAGATCCCAAATAGTAAAATGACAGAGCTGGGATTCAAACCCAGACTACCTGACTCCTAAATTCACACCCCTGGTCATTACCCATCCTGCCTCTCAGGAGAAAGGAGCCTTTCTATATCTCCCTGTGTGTATGGATGGGGAGAGGGAGTCCAAAAAAGGGAAACAATTTGTACCTGATTTATTCTGAAACATTAGGCACAACTCATGTTCTTATATCTGGCTCAGTTTATAGAAATGAATTCACAAGCCAATAGATATGGAGAAAGGGGTCCTGCCATGGTAGCACAGTGCTGGGTGCCCCTACCCAAGGCTGGGCCACACAGAAGGCCTAGCTCAGATGCCAGATCAACCTGAACATCCAACTAGCTGGAAGGCTGAGGCAGAGGACTGCAATGGCGAGACCCTGTCAAAATAACTATCTCCGGGGCCAGCAGGTGGCATAGTAGTTAAGGTGCTGGATCCCACATGGCCTACCGTGGCTCAAGTCCCAGACAAGGTGGCTTGAAAATCATGCCAGGCGCTTGTGTGCACACATCCAAAATCCCAAGAGAAGACTGTAGAAGAGAGTGTAGCCTGGCCATCCCCCTGGGGGATGATTTCTCACTTTCCCTCTCACTGTTTGTCTATCTCCTGCAAGCATATGCACCCTATGGGAAAAAAAAAAAAAAAAAACACAGAACAAAACAAAACCCCATATGCACCCTATGGGAAAAAAAAAAAAAAACACACAGAACAAAACAAAACCAAAAAAATCTACCTCCCCTACTTACCTCTTTCTCTCTCTTCTTATCAGAAAATGAATAAACAGGGACCAGCAGTTGGTGTTATGGCTATGTCACTGTACTCCCATGTAGTTGAATGCAGTTCGAGTCTGGGACTCAGTGGCTAAACTCATGCCAGGCGCGTGTGCATGTGTACCCAAGATCCCGAGAGGAAAATGGAGGAGAAGAGATTGCAGCGTGACCATCCCCCCTGGGGGTGATTTCTTGTTTTCTGTCTCTCCATCTCTCTCTGTCTTTCTGGCAAGAGCACGCACCCTATAGCAAAAACCTCTCCAAGAAAAAATTAAAAATTAAAAAAATTAAAAATAAAAGCACTGCTACTTTTTATTCTGCACTGGGCATGCCACTCCAAATTAGAAAAGCCCTAGACATAATTTCAATTTGCGTACACTCAAAAGCAAACCCAGGAAAGATACTACTCTCTAACAGAGACGGGCACGTAATTTCTGGATACCTTGACTTTCATCAGATGTCCTGCAAAACTGAAGCAACAGACCGGCTTCAAGATTCTTCCTGTAAAATCGGTTTCATAAAATCATCAATTACATAACTGTGCTGCATTTCTAACTTCTATTTTTGGTCTGTTAATTAGATTTACTGCAGGGATAGAATATTTCAATTGGGAAATGAATGAGACTACCAAAAAATACACTTTACAAGTTACCACTGATTCATAACCCAATTAAGCCTTCTAAATGAAATAAAAAATGAAACTTTATTGATTTTCGAGTCTAGCTTCCTATCACCTAGGACCCTCACTCCCACCTCCAAGTACTCTGTCAGTCTTTTCTATCTACTGAAATCTCACTCATGCTTAAAGGCTGCCTCACATAGTCCAGCTAGAAGTGAATCTTTACGGGGAACCAGCAGTTAGCGTAATGGCTATGTCGCTGGACTCCCACATAGTCGACCGCGGTTCGTGTCCCGGATCCGGTGGCTTAAAAAACTCACGCTGGGTGCGTGTGCATGCGTGCCCAAGATCCCGAGAGGAGAATAGAAGAGAAGGGATTGCGGCGTGACCATCCCCCCTGGAGGGTGATTTCTCGCTTTCTGTCTCTATGTCTCTCTCTGTCTGTCTGGCGAGCGCACGCGCCCTACAATGAAAATCTCTCAAAAAAAAAAAGTGAATCTTTATGGGTTTTAGAATCGAAAAAAGCTGACTTTTATCCTTGGCTCTATGACTCAGATATAGTCACAATACTTTCAATTTTCTGTATCAAAATGAGAACGACAGAAGTTTCTGCATAAGGCTCAGAGGCATGAGTTAAATAATCCTTACTATCAATGAGAAAATGAGGCTCAAAGAAGTTGAGTAATTTGCTCGCTGCTACACGTCCAGTGGGTAGAAATGAATTTTAACCCAGATCTGTGAGACTCTAAGACCTCCACTCTCTCCACAATACATCTCTCACAAAAGCAGACACAGTATTAGGAGTCCAACCCAAGGTCTCACCTAAAGGAGAGGCAGTTTAGGTTGGTGGTAACCAGAACTGTTCGAGAATCAGACGGGCTGCGTTCATGTCTCAGATCTACCATATTTGAAGTCTGTGAGCTTAAACAACTTACTGAACCTTTCCGTGCCTCGATTTTTCTCATCTTCAAAATGGGGATAAAGATGGTACTTCCTCAAAAGAAGCGTTTGGTATGTTGAAAAGCATTTAGAATAGTGCGTGGAAATAGAATGCCCACCATAAATGTTATTAGCTACTATTTTATAAGTGAAACTTGTACTCCAGAGCACTAAGTCATAGCCTTCTGAACATGAAGAGATGAAAAGAAATCAGCCAATAGAGCCTGAGGTAGCGTAGTGGTTAATGCACTGGACTCTGACATGGCTGACTGCAGTTCAAATCTCAGACCCAGGAGCTTAAAAATCATGCTGGGCACGCATGCCAAAAATTCCAAGAGGAGACTGGAGGAGAAGGGGTTGCGTTATGGCTGTCTGCCCCTAGAAGGTGATCTCTCACTTTACCTCTCTCTGTCTCTGTCTTGCAGTGTCTGTGCCCTATACAAAAAAAAAAAAATTTGTCCAAGAACCCATGAAAAGAAAATCCAGTCCACAGGAACAGTATGAAAAATGTGTTTAAGGAACAAGGTATTTGAGAGAGATGGGCGGCTGAACTTTTATCAATGCTGCTGTTTCTTTTGAATGGCTATGGGCCCACAACCTCCTTTGTCATTATTTACATGAATAGATTACTCCCGAAAGTTTCCTCTTAATGTGTAAATAACACATTAATAGACCATTTTAAAAGGAAACTATTAAACTTTCATGTGCCACTATTAGTCACCCAACAAATATCTAGTGAGCACTTGTTGCCTATCAGGTCCAGATCCGGGCAGCAGACACACACAGTGCAGAAAGCAGAAATCTACATGGCCAGGTTCCAGCAGAAAAATGTAGGTAGGGTCACGAGTCAAGGTGATGAAGAAAATCACGTGAGGAAGAAGCTACAGGGCAACAGGGGCGATGGCAGGCATCTCAGATGGGGTGGTCAGGCAGGGACTCTGCAGAGCTGAGTTTGAAGACACATCTGAAAGAAAAAAGGGGCAAGCCCAGTGCATCTCTTGGGGAGGAACATTCCATGTAGAGGAAACTACAAGCTCCCAAGACAAGAACCTGCTTGGCATGTTCAAGAAAGAATAGCAGGTCACTGCAGCTGAGCAGGGGGACTGAGGCAAAGAATGATTGGAAACAAGGCTAGAGAAGTGAGAAGAGATGGGATCAAGCAGTGGAGGTACTAAACTAGGGGTCTGGGAAGTCACAAGGGAATTTGGAGCAGGGTCTGATTCGGGTTTGAAATGAATCTCTGGTGTGTGTGTGTGTGTGTGTGTGTGTGTGTGTGACATAATGCGGGGTGACATAATGAAGGCAAAAGTCGAAGCAGGCAGATCAATTACGGAATACTATAGTCCAGACAACAGATGGTGGTGGTTTAGGGTGGTGGAAGCAGACTCTAAACATGGATCTCCAGGAGTAGGTTGTGGAGCGAATATGGAGAAAAGACAGACTCAAGCAAAGGTGACTCCAAATGCTGGTGCCATTTATCAAGAATGGGGAAACGCTAGAGTGGGAACACATTTAGAGCTACATCTGGAGAGTGGGGGAATCGATTAAACGTGAAATGCTACCTAGACATCCAAATAGAACTACTGATTATAGACAGCAACATATAAGGGTCTTCAAAAAGTTCATGGAAAAGGAGTATCATGGGAAAACAATGCCTGGATTTCAAAATATATATATATTTTTTGTACCAAAATAAACTCATACACAATATTTAAATTTCATTTCTCCATGACATCCTCTTGAAAAGCAATCTAGAGTTCAGAAGTGAGATTAGAGCTACAGAAAAAACTGTCACCGTCATAAGCATATATGATAAGTCCTGGACTAAAAGTGATCCCTTAGGGAAGGTAGGTAAATCCAAGGCCAAGCATTCGGGAGACAGAGCTTGGGCACTCACGAGGCTACTGAAAGGCGTTTCTTTTTCTTTTTTTTTCTTTTATCCTCCCAATTTTTGCGATAGGACCATGTGTGCTTGCCAGAGAGGTACAAAGAAACAGTGAGAGGGAAAGTGAGAAATCCATGCACCCCCTCGGGGGGATGGCCGCACCGCAATCCCTTCTCCTCCATTCTCCTCTCGGGATTTTGGGCATGCATGCACACGTACTCAGCATGTTTTTCAAGTCGCCAGGTCTGAGACTTGAACTATGTAGCCAACCATGCCAGATCCAGCCACCTTAACCTCCACATTACCTGCTGGCCCCTGAAAGGCTTTTCTATTGGTGTATACAGGTTTGAAGAGTTATGATGCTATTAGGGAGCAGTGGCATAATGGTTATATCTCTGGATTCCCACGTAGTTGACTGTGGTTACCCGGCGACTTAAAACTGTCTGGATTCCCACGTAGTTGACTGTGGTTACCTGGCGACTTAAAACTGACACCAGGCCCGTGTGCATGTGTGCCCAAAATCCTGTGACGGTGGCATACTGGATTCCCACGTAGTTGACTGTGGTTACCTGGCGACTTAAAACTGACACCAGGCCCGTGTGCATGTGTGCCCAAAATCCTGTGACGGTGGCATAGCCGCCCATGTGCATGTGTGCCCAAAATCCTGAGACGGTGGCATGTCTAACACCCCTTGGGGGGATGATTCTCACTTTCTCTCTCTCTCTGTCTCTCTGGCAAGCACATGCACTGTATAGCAAAAAAAAACAAAAACAAAAAACAAAAAAAAAACTCTTAAAAAAGAGTTATGATGCTACTATTATCTTTTCATGAGAGAGAGGGAACACGGGAAATGTAGATAACAGGAAGAGGAGAGAGAGGTATTTCGGGCAGGATCTCGCTGTCATGTCATGACCCTTCTGCCAAGCTTCTCGGTTAGGCAGGACCAGAGTCCAGAGTGCCTGGCCTGCTCAGGTTGGGCCAGAAACCAAACCCAGGTCTCCCGTGTGGTATGAGCCACCACATCACTGCACCCTCAAACTTGTGCCACCATCGTTAGGCCATATTTTTTAATTAGAACAACAACAAAAAACACATCACATAAAAAAGACAGTTGAGGGGGCAGATTTATATTCAACTATTTTCAAAGGAATAGGATCTTTCCTAAGGTCTCACATTACCGTTTTACCCAGATCTAAGGAGGCAGACTGTATAAGGAGACCAACATGCAACCAGGTAACACAAGAGGAAGTCCTGTTCTGGGTCCCTCCCCAACACTCAACCCTGAGCAAATCCTCCCACCTCCCTGTGCAGACATTTCCTCCTGGAGACAAGCCAACCACCCCTTCTCCTGTACCCTCAAGGCAGTAGAATGCAGAAGGGTTGACTAAAAAGCACATGCAAATATATTATTAGCACATTTTAAGATACAAATCAAACTCTAACGCCATGAGATCCAGTACCAAGGAAAGCCAGTATTTCCACCTACTCCTGTAGTCTCTCCCCTCTCCCTATCTCTGCTGGTCTGTGTAAGGCCCTCAAAATAGGTAACAAACCTCTTACACATTTTTAAAAACAGGAAAGGGATTGAGCCATAACCACTGGCTGAATCCCATAAATGCTTGGAGGCTTTCTTAGTCCTGGCTAAATCAGCCCACTGACTAAGAGTGAAGGAACACACAGCTGCCTTCAGTTTCCAGACTCTAGGGTTCGCACCTGGCGAATTTCACCTCCAAGTCCTGAAACCTCTGAACTACGCAATGACATACACGCACGATCAAAGTCGCTACTACCTGACTTCGGATTTCATGAACTCTGTACAAATAAACAGTGCAGCCTCTCAGCCAAACTTGATGAAACCTTCTGAAGCCATATGTGCCCCACATGTGTGCTCTCAGCCCTCCAATCCCCTCCTTCTGCTGGTCAAGCAAAGGCAAAACCCACACATTTCAACCCTCTGCCACCACCAGTATGAAAACAACACAAGAGGCAGGCAGGTTTTGTGCCGCAGGCAGTCGGGTCACTCCCGGGCACCTCCAGTCCTCCTGGCCAGCGCTCTCAATTCGTCTCATAGAGGCAGGACGTCCCAACTTGTTCCCATCTGTCAGTTCCAACCACAACTTGTCCCCCAAACTCAGCATAACTGTCCACAAGGCCCTGTTTGAGCCCCTCAAAGCCCCTCAAACCTTTCTGACCCAAGACACTGCCCCCACACCCCCTCCCCAAGGCCCGCACCCATGCCCGGGACCCTCACCCCATCCGGGCCAGCCACGTACTGCGCAGCCCAGCCCGGACCCGGCGCGACCGCGGGGCGCACCGAGCAGGCTGCAGAGCTGCGGCGGGCTCCTCGGCGTGTGCACGTACGTGCGAGGCGTGTCCACGTCTGCGCGCGTGGCCGCGAACGCGTGTGTGCTGCAGGAGCAGGCCCTCCGCCCACGGGGTCCCGGGCCCCGCAGCCCTTCCCCGGCTGGGCACCTCTCACCTCCCAGCGCGCGGCCGCAGCTCCGCTCGGCTCCGGCTCCTTCGGCGCGGCCACTCATCGGCGTCCCGAGCCCGCTCGGAATATATACCCTCATCCAGGGGGCCGGGGCGGCGGGGCGGG